CACAACTTTTGGCTGATATCTACCGTAAAATGACAAGGAAGAGAAAGAACCATGCTGGTGCATTATATTTCAAGATTTGGAGAGAGGGAATTTTGCAGTACATTTGGTCACTACTCCTCCTTTGCAAGCATTTTAGGGACTCCGTTGACACCAGAATCACAACTTTTGGCTGATATCTACCGTAAAATGACAAGGAAGAGAAAGAACCATGCTGGTGCATTATATTTCAAGATTTGGAGAGAGGGAACTTTGCTGTACATTTGGTCACGGATGCTCATTTGCAAGCTTTTGAGAGATCTAAAAAATCAAAGAGATAAGACTACAGTTCCCTGGAAAATTCCATCAGAATCCAAGCAGCACGTAATATAGTCCTCCTCGGATTTTCCCATTTCAGAATCTTAAGGCGGGGACGAACAGGTAGGTGACTGTCTGCTGTTCTGCATACATTTAAAGTTCAACCACCCTGTTGAAATTCCTACCTGTGGAAACTTAGCCTGTCGGGGACATTTCTAATCTGGTCTCCATCAGCTAGCTTTCTGTGAGTGGGTGGGTGGGATTTTGAGAAAGAGATCTCTTTAGCCTCTTCCTCCTCCTCACATACACAATTCCACTCCAGCTATACTCCAAAAACATCCCCCTGTGATTCCCGTCTTCCCGACACAAGATTATCTCTCATCGGCCCCTTGTTCTTCTCCTTTCCGATGGTCGTGTGATGACCGAGGACGGATTCTCACATTGCTGATCTGAGCTTCATTATTAAATGGCAACCAACCAGGCTGTGCTGGAAAAGGAAGGGAGATTCTCCAGATTGACAGATGTGGAAACAAAACTGGCGATAGCGTTTCAGTGAAGAGTTCAATCACTGGGAAGACAATGTTTGCAACTCAGGGTTGAAGCGAGAGTCCCTTGCTGCTCTCTGAGCTCGGTTGTTTTCTTGAAGACATTTCATAAGCCAACTAAAGTCCGTGATCACCAATTGAGGGTCTTTGGTGGAGAAAACTTTGCTGGTTCGCAGAAAAATATTTTGCAATTGTTGTATTGCACTAAATCGAGGATCCTCAAAACTACGGCCCCTGGGCCGGATACGGCCCGCCGAAGCAATTAATACCGCTCGCTGATGGGATGGGGTCCTTCAGGCACTTAGCTTGGCTGCCTGTTTATTAGCTCCACCCCTTTCCTCCCTGGGAGTCCAGGCGCTTCAGTGAGCGGTGCGCGAAACTTCAGCCAGGCTCCTCAAAAGACAGAGGGGGCCCCGATCTATCGCCCGGGCTGACTACAAGACATTCATTCATTCTTGGCCGTATTTGAGATTCCTAGCTGCAAAGAACAGCAAGGGTTGAGCCCGAGTGCTTCTCTCCGCTAACAGGCGGCCAAGCTAAATGCCTGAAGGACCCCATCCCGTCACTAATTGATTTTAGTAGTTCCGGAGGGGATTTAAAATTATGAATTTAGTGGTCCCGGAGGTCCAAAAGGTTGGTGACCCCCTCCCCCCCTGACCTAGGTAACATCAGTGCTAGAAAGGAGTAAGGCTTGTTCTCATCTATATGAAAGCAAACTTTGCTTCTCCCCTCCAGCATTGATGACGTTACCTAGCCCGGTAATGAAACGTCTGCAAGAAAACCACCAAGCTCAGAGAGCCTCACAGTTCAACAGTTGGCAATCAATGAGAGTGGATGGATGTTTGTAAACTTGAAGGTTGTCTGGTTGCGCAGACTCACTTGAATGAGGAAATTGTGTCCCAGTTCCTTGAGTTTGGGAACCCTTTGGCAGCAATTCAACGGAAGACAAGATAGCTGGCTGAGAATCTCAGTGCCCCCCTTTTTTTTGGGCTGGGAAGCCGCGTTCAGAAACGCATCCGGAAGCTTAGAAGTTTCTTCGTCCAAGGAGCTTTACGTCTTGCAGTTCCTGAGGTCGTAAACTCTGGTCGACGCCAGGGGTAAGTGCGTAGCGTAAAGGGGAGTCGGTGTAACCATTCCAGTACAGGCAGACCCGTTTACAAAATTCGAAAGTGCTGAACATGATCCCAAAATAAGGGACGATCTGCAGAAACAAACGCAAAAAGGTAAAAATCGAGCTCAAATCTTCCTATTTTTCGGACTTAAAGAGACCGTTTTACCCCTAGGAAGCCGGTCTGCGGGAAAATACTGCAGCCTTTGATTTTTAGAGCCCGCAATTAATATTTTACTCCGTTAATATTTTATTTCAGGGACGCTCAGTGCTTGTCGATCAGAAAAGTCGGCAGCTCGACAGTTCGAATCCCTAGCGCCGCGTAACGGAGTGAGCTCCCGTGACTTGTCCCAGCTTCTGCCAACCTAGAAGTTTGAAAGCACGTAAAAAATGCAAGTAGAAAAATAGGAACCTCTTTGGTGGGAAGGGAACAGTGTTCTGTGCACCTTCGGCATTGAGTCATGCCGGCCACATGACCCCGGAGACGTCTTCGTACAGCGCTGGCTCTTCGGCTTTGAAATGGAAATGAGCACCGCCCCCTAGAGTCTTGGGAACGACTAGCACATATGTGGGAGGGGAACCTTTACTTCTACTCTCATTAATTGGAGGGAAGCTGTTTTTGTGGCATTAAACACAAAGGTGCCTACTCAGAGGTAACCAAATTTTAACTAGCCACAACACATTTTTAACTTGTGGAACTTTATACACTTTTGTTTGTTTGTTTTTTAAAATATTTTGTTACGGCTGTGTCTCTTTAAACATTAAAAAAAAAGTATAAATATATATATTGATACTGTTGCAAAAATAGTCTCTTTGGTTAAGCTGTATCACAATCTTGCATTTCCATGAAAAAAAATAAAACCAGCAACTGATAAACCTACACAGGTCATTGTTGACTTAAAATCACAATTGAGCCTGTGGCTGAGCAAGGCAGTTAAGTGAGTCCTGTCTTGTTTTACGACCTTTCCAGCCAGAGGTGCTAAGTGAATAACTG